ATGGACTTCTTTGAGATCATCCAAGAATTTTATATTTGATATAGTGTATTGATGGATTGATTGGATTTAATATAGGGGCTTGTTGTAATAGTAAAATTATATATCTCGAGTTCCACACATCATATTTCTAAGAAGTTCTAAATTTAAAAAATGATGGACCTGCACATTTCTGTTTACTGAGTCGGCTAGCGGGATAGTAGCTATGACAATATTATGCAAGACGGTTTACATGACCAATCAAAAAAAAATATATATTGTTCAAGATCCTTTTGAAAACCACCTGTTACTGTTTATCCCTGGTAGTACTTACCCCTGTGATCACCTACCCCTGTTACTACTTACACATGTCACTACTGACCCCTGTGACCACTTACCCCAGTGTCCACTTACCCCTGTTACTACTTACCCCTATTACTATTTACCCCTGTTACTATTTACTCCTGTTACAAGAAGCGCCTAGCTTTCCCACGTGGAAACCAAAGCTTCTAACTTTAATCTTTAACTAACCAGCAATTTAAATATTTTAAGGCAAACACCATCAAAGTATAATTATAATTCTAATTGGCTTTTTCTCCAGGTGAATTAAGAAATGAATCCAGGTGTGATACAGTAGCAATTAAAGTTTTGAAGGATACAGCAGGACGAGAGGCCGAGGAAGACTTTTTGCGAGAAGTCGATATAATGAGTGCTTTTAGGCACGATAATATCCTTACATTGATCGGAGTTGTAATGCGAGGTAAGTGATAGAAATAATTAAAATAATAGTTAATAAAAAAAGTTAAATTCAAATTTTGAAGAAATAAATAAATATGACTAATATTAAAACAGTATGCCATATTATTATGAATTCAAAAAAAATTTGTATACCATTGTTATAAATGGTCTTAAGGTTGCTTTAGTTTGATTTTATTGGATTTTATTTCACTGTACCAAATATAATTCTGCATCCGCTTTAAAATAAATATAAGAAGTGAAGTCAAATAATGTTTGTTAAAAATCTTGTTCACTTAATTCATTAACAAAATAATTTAATAAGAAAGATGACAATATAAAAAAATGGCCCACCCGAAAATATTTTTATTTAAATCTAGATGACCCGACAGACGCGTTATTTTGTACTTATGTTACCAATTCAAAAGTTCAAATTTTTTTAATAACCTATACTGATATTTACCAATTCGTTGAAAAGTATCATGTTTTTTACGCTACAGTCTATATCGAAACGTATATACATCCACCCATATGGATCTTAAATGTACAACTGCTTTAAATAAAGTATTTGCTTTTTAAAAAACATTATAAAACATTTTTTTTTATAATTAGTTATTTTATCGATATCCGACGTTATTTTAAAAAAAATGAAATTACACCACTGAGAGGGATGTCTTCCCCCCGGGAAATGGCAAAGGAGTCTAAATTATTTTCACTTTTGAACTTGAGAGTAAGATAATCCGAATTCCAAAATTTCATACGAACTGGATCACAATAAAAAAATTCAGACCCAAAACGCTCCATTGAATTGAGTAAATATTCCGTATCCGGTGGCAAAAATATGAAAATACTAACGTTTGTATGTAAAAAAGAAAAGAGCTGTTTTTAGGGTTTTTTCCGGCAAATATAAAAATCTCCATGTGAAGTTCATATCTGTATTAATATAAATGTGACTCCATATCTGATAATATAAATATTCCAGAAATGCTTTGTATGAATGTGTGAATTTGTAATTTGTACATAATTACCCTGAAAAAGTATTTATAAAAATATCATAATAACCCCAATACTGCCATCATTTAAAAGTGCTTTTATGATAATTTCAAAATTCCCAAGGCATGCCCATAAGGTAAAAGTAGTTGAACTCCCAACTCGAACAAGAAAAGTTTAGTTTTAAAAGTTTCTCGTTTCAGTTTCATATTATTGCCCGAATGGGATTTTGTTTTCAGTTGGAAACATATTTTCGATTTATATTTTCAAGTGCAAATTGATATATCGCCTACCCTATGATAATATACTGCACAAAATCCTAAGCAATGAATACAAAAAATTTTGGTTGTTTAGATAAAAACTTAAAAAAAAACATATCTAGTAATACTCTATTTTGTATAGAAATTTAATTTCATTTCTATTTATTACTTTTATATGAAAATTTATTTAACGGTTAAAACAAAAAGTAATCAGAAGCCAAGAAATTTTTAGAGTTTTACTCTACCACCCAACCGAACATTGACCACCAGTTGATTGAAAAGGAATTGTCTACTTCTAGTAGACGAATCTTATATATCAATTGTGGTAATCAACTTTAACCACTACCATAGCCATAAGGACTATTTTAAATTTGAAGTAATTTACAAAATACTGAAACTATAAAAGGCATTAGTTAAATATAGTAAATTCAGTATCCGCATATTCATCATCTAATGTTTATTCTATTTTATTTTATTACCAGATGGAACAAATAGCCCCTGGATGGTATTCGAGTACATGCCCCATGGTGATTTGGCAGAAGTGTTAAGGGCGAATGCAAAAGTTCCTCGACTCAAGAACCCATCATCGTGCGCCGCACCCGCGCCGAAACTAGATAAAACATCTTTACTTTCGATAGCTTCTCAGGTATTTTAGAAAACTTTAAGCATTTCAGAAATATGCTCCATGAAAATGTTGTAAAACAGCTATTTACATAGTTTCATAGAAAACTTTGGCAAACGAGCACAAAGTTTTATGAGATTTGTGAACTACGTGAGTAGAGAAAACGAGTAGAGAAATTCATATATATGTATATATATATATATGTATATATATATATATATATATATATAATATATATGCATATATTATTATATTACAAACTACTCTTACCTTGACTTCTCCTACTTGAATTGAACTTAATATTTTCCGACAACAAAATTTCACCTGTCTCTCTGAACAAAAATCCTGAAAAATAAAATAAAAAGTTCTATAGAGTTAGATCATAGCTTCATATTAAAACGGATAACTTGAATATTGTAAAAATTCCAATTTCAAATAAATTATATATCTTTTATTAACGCGGGCAGTAACAGTTCAGAAAGGTAAAAAATTCAATCATGTTATGGCCATGTTACGCTCCAACTTCCATACATTATGCTAAAGAATCATACTGAATTTTGTTAAAATGTCATGGATTTTCTATGCATTCAGGCGTTTTACACATAAACTGCAACATCACTCGTATGCTATGAAGCAGTGTCAGAAAGACCCTGTTATCTAAGATCGTTTTTTGACATTTATGCGGTTTCTAGGTTAGGGGATCTATCTGACAACCTGAGAAACACGCCTGTCTGCACAGCAATCACATGGCTTTTGTCAATATTTTGTATGGAAAGTGCTTCATAACAGGGCCTTGCCATAACATTTTTCTGTTTTGCGGCAGAATCGGTCCCTTAGTGAAAAAGATAAGATAATATATAGTCAACATAGTGAAAAAGATAAGATAATACGAAAATACCTAAAGAATCAATTAGTAATTACCTTGTCAGGTATAATAATAACAAAAACGTAAAGTTATATAAAATTAAATTAAAAATTAACTTAAAAACAGAATAAACAGAATTATGATGCTCAAAACATTTTTTGTAAAGTTCTTAAAAATCTTCAAAAACAAAGTCAAATTATCAATGTACTAACTGTGATAAGTAAAATATTCTCAAAATTAAAATTCTACTTTTAAAATTGATTAATTAAAATTTTAATTTCAATTTATTCATTTGTAACAAGTAAGCATATTGTGGGAGATTTATATAATTCCAGTATAAAAATTATAAGTTCAACTGAATTTTCTTAGGTATTTCCTTTATTTATACACTCTTAATTTAAGCAACAAATATAATATATAATCTGGTCATATAATAATAAATACTTTCATCTTTTTATTATTTTATATTTATTATAATTTTTTTTTAATCTCAGGTAGCAAATGGTATGAGATATTTATCCGCCCAGAGATTTGTCCATCGTGATCTTGCATGCAGAAATTGCCTTGTTGGAACTGGATTGTCGGTGAAAATTGCAGATTTTGGCATGAGCAGAGATGTATATACTTGCGATTATTATAAGGTCAGTAATAAAAAATATATTTTAAAAAAATCCAAATTTAAAACAAATGTATACCATACATAAAATCAGCAAGTAATATATCTGGCTTGTCTTCCAAATAGGAAACTCAACTAATTACACCAATAAATTCCTACACATATTACAGCATGGAATCTTTTAAGAAACCTAATGCAATGGGGTACATTTGTAGTATACTTAAATTATAATACAGAAACTCACCTTTATTATTTACAATATTTTAATTAATTAGGGCTGCATCACTAAAACTTGCACAATCATTAATTTAATAACTATCACCTATATAATATTCTTAAATCGACATCAAACAATATTTTACCGACATTTTTGTTCCCTTAACCTAAATACTTATTGCACGTGCAATGTCAAATTATGACTAAAGGTAAATGCACGTGGCTCATGTGGTTCTTATGGTAACTAGCAAAACTCAAGAAAAAAAGGGCGCCGAATTTGAAATTAGGTAAAATAGTTTTTATTTACGATACACCCCAAAAAGCAAGAATTAGACACTCATGGTATAAAAAATGCAGATTTATGATTTTACTTTTTGTATTTATTATATTGTTTCTGTTTTACAACTGAGCATAGCGATTTTGGTATGTCTGCTAGTATTTATATATCTCTGACTCCTAAGTTGTTATTTATTATAACATTTATTCAAAATTTTTACCAAATGTTGGATATGTAAAATTAATTAGTGTACTTTCAATATAGATCTCTCAGTTCGATTAGTATACCAATTCAGAAAAATCTACTAATATTTCCATTTACATTTATGGATAATTTCATTTTGTAAACGAGATCTGAATGCACTAAAGTACTATATGTTGCTTCTTATTTAATGTATCTTTAATTTTTCAATTATTCTCTTACAGATTGGAGGTAACCGTCTCTTACCAATTAGATGGATGTCTCCTGAAAGTGTGATGTATGGTAGATTCACATTGGAATCTGATGTTTGGTCCTATGCAGTTTTGCTCTGGGAAATCTATAGTTTGGGAATGCAACCTTATTATGGACACAGCAATGACCAAGTTGTAAAACTCATCTTACAGGTAATAATATATAATAATAATAATAAGAAATCCAGTAATAATATATAATATGATACAATAACCAATGTTTTTATAATTGATCATTTTAGAATATGCATTGCATCTTTATTTACTTACCATATTTTACATTACCTTATACTGACAACATTGTCCAAAAAATATTGTCCAATGGTGGTATTTTTTATGCTCCTGGCTATTAAATCTTTATATGAAAAAGGAGATTTCTATGTTTAGCTAGACCTACATTTTAATATACATCATTTTTTCTATCACATCTCCATAAAACTAACCATACATCCATATCTACCATATCAGGTACAAATAATTAGATTGGATTTGAATTTGCTCAATTCTAGAGCACTTACTCTTAGTTGTTGTGCATCATCATATCTTCAGATAAATATATCTATTTCACAAACAAACTTATTATTTATTATATTTCTTTTACCAGGGCGAGAAGTTGACACCCCCAGAAGGTTGTCCATCCTTCATCTGCGACCTGATGAAACTATGTTGGAAAACAGAACCTCGAGACAGGTTAACCTTTCCTGAAATTTACGAAAAGCTTGCCAAAGCTCGCGCTGAAATGGCAGCTTCTCAGCAAGAAATTAATCAAAATATCGAAATCGCAGATGATTTACCAAGGCCTCCGATTATAATACCAACACTGGACATCATGCAGCAAACTGAGGATTTGGAAGGTTACTTGAAACCACAGAAGGCACAACCTCCTGAATATATGGTGGCTATAGCTTAAATGGTAGATAGTAATGAAATTTCGAGAAACATATCTTTGTAAAAGGGAATACAAACGGTGGTTTTAGTTATCAATGTAAATGGATAGATCTCTTTGTTTTTTATATTCCATAAAAGTGAAACTATTAACATCGTGTATATATTTTTCATAAACCAGAGACATTTTCTCGATGTACCCAAAATTGTCCATATCATGACACTGTTTTAAATGTAGTTAATATTTAAATGTATTTTTAATCTATCATAACGGGTGTTAGTAATATTATGTCCTTGATACTTGTAAATAAATATATTTAAAAAAGCAATATTTTAATATTATACAGTTACTTTTAAATTATAACCTTTAAATGTCGTGAATAGTTGAAATATTTGTAACATTTAGTATAGTTTTAACTAAAATTCCAGTGTAAAATATTAGATTAGTCTATATAGTATTTGATAAAAAATGAACAAGAGTGTAAATGAGTGAGTAAGAAACAATGATAGAGATGAAAAGAAGTGATAATTTATGAATGAATAAAAGAGATGCAATGAACGATTCATTAATGAATGAAAGAGACGAAAAGGACGACAGTGTAAAACTATGTGTGATAGAAGTATGAATGAATAAAAGAGATGAGAAGAACGACAGCGTAGGACTAAGTGAGATGGATTGATGAATGAATGAAAGAGATGCAAAAGCGACAGTATGAGACTAAGTGAGATAGATTGATAAATGAATGAAAGAGACGAAAGACCGATAGTAGCAGACTAAGTGAGATAGATTGATGAATGAATGAAAGAGATGCAAAAGCGACAGTATGGCACTAAGTGAGATAGATCATGAATGAATGAAAGAGATGCAAAAGCGCTAGTATGAGATTAAGTATGATAGATTGATGAATGAATAAAAGAGATGCAAAAGCGACACTATGAGACTAAGTAAGATAGATTGATAAATGAATAAAAGAATGAACAAGAACTACAGTGTTTAAATTCAAATTAATTAACGACTGAGGAAAATCAGGAGTATCAGATAAATTAGGAATGATTGAGAGGAAATTAGAAATTAAAAATTAAAAATTAGTATCAAAAGTAGATTTCTGTAATATCGTATTGATAGTTTTTTAAGGCAAAAATATAAAGTGAAATAAAATCATAAATCAAATAATAATAGTAAATTAGTAATAATTGTCAAACATCTTAGAAAATTGAGATTTTTTTTATTTTATGATCAATTGCACTGAATGTTATTAGTTTGAGACACTAGAGAAATTGAATTTGATTAAACATAGCAAATTTACTATCACCAAATAATTTATAAATCAATCCCTTACTAGTGCAATCGATCTCTTACTACGTTTGACAGGGTTTTGTAGACAAATTCTAATAACATAAATATTTTAAGAAAATTTTTCACTTTTTCGGTGTTGACAATAAATGTATAGTATATTCTTAAGTTATAAAGTTGAAGAAAAATGGGACCTGATTGCGTTGTAAACTTATACCTATTTATCTCCCAATATTTATTATCAATATAGTATTGAAATAGTAAAATGGAATTTGTAAATTTTAATGAATATAAATGAATAACCATGAACAAGGCCCAAAGTCGTCCTGTATGACGACTTATTCGTGATTAATCATTACTTTGTTAGCTGTATGAATAAATTCCATGTTACTTTATTGCTATATTTTGTAAATAATAATTGTAAATAGTTAAGGAAATGCTTATTTATTTTGTCTTGTTGTACGTGGTTCTAATTTAACTTTTTTTATAAAAAAGAAAAATATATATGTCATATATGCAGCTTTTATGTGTTGTAAAATATAAACGTATTTTTGTAATAATTAGTTTTGTAATATATTAGTAGAAGATAAAAAAAATGATTTGATGATCTTAATCTTAGAGATGCAGGATTTTATAGTATTTACATTTTTATCAAATCTAGTATTTTTGGTACTATATATTTTTTGTCTATAAAATGAATGGTTTCACATATTGATAATAAGTTTAAGATTAAGGATTTTTTACAAAATTGTAGTGCTAGTTTAAAAACCCACTTCTAGTCTTTTAAAACTTTGGTATTTTTTAACTAATTTATATGTATTGCCAAAGAATTTAAATCAGAGAATTAGAAGTTAAAAAAAAAACGTAAAAATATTTTGGTCTCTGTGAAAAAATCCAAATGAATATGTATCCAAATATATCATGAATCCTTATACAATTCAAGAAAATATAAAAAAAACTATCAACATTAATACATAATTTTTCAAAAAAATGTGTATATTATCTAAGTTAGTTATTATGTGCCATATAAAAATATATTATTTTCATTAAATTCTGAACCTTCTTTTCTTTTAGAATTGGACATTAATATATTTGAATTTAAAATTTACTAGATTTTATATTAATATTTTTTTAAATATGAAGGTAGTTGAAATAGGTCACAAAAAATCGAGTGTATACGGCAAATACCAAAAAATGTAATATTTAATTAAAATTTAATTATTTATGATGATACGTTCTTTGTATAATTTTTCAATGATTTATCCAAAATATGTATATAATTTCCATTAACATTTGGATAAGTAAAAATTATATGAACGTTAAAATTTTTATTAAATATATAACATTCACTCTTAAATATTTTTTTAAATAATAAATATATAATTGCAAAAATATAAATACTTAGAATATCAAGAATTTCTTGGAAAAATATTAAAAAATGTTACTATATGTAAAAATAAATTTATGAATAACATGTCATTTTAAAAATAATAAATTTGTGTGCATATTTTTAATTTTCTTAAATTTAATATAAGATTTTAATAATCCTAAAAATTTTTCTGTTGATGTGATCAATTTTAGTGTAATTATTTTTTTAAATGGTAAATTAATCATAAGTATAAATTTTTACTTGTAGGACAATGTGTTTAAATATTCCTTTAATTATCAAGGATTATTTTATTTATATACAGCAATACTAAAATATTCATCATAAATTTAGGAACATATTTTTTTGAAATTATTTTGTAATTTTTTTTATTATTTTTCAAATATCACCTCCACTGCTGTACGGATTTTCAAAAATAATAAATGCATATTTTTAATTTAATAATGTAATCAATTTTAATTTATAAATTTAATCAAACCTAAAATAATGTCGTAGACAAATTGTTTATTAACAATCATATTGAAATTAATAATTTTAATATTTAGTAATAATTAGTAGTATTTAAAGAAAATGTAAATATGTGTATTTTAATGTGTATATAATTTTAGTTTTAATTTTAAAAATAGAGAATTTTATTTTTGTGACTTGCACTACTATAATAATATTAATTAATATCAAATGCACGAATTAAGTGTATTTTATTATTATTAAATATGACTCTCAGTATTTATCTGTTAAAATTGAACTTTTCCACTGTGTCAAATATAAAAAATGTAAAATTGTGAAAATAAATATTATATTAATTTATCAGTTGATTATTTAATAATTAGAATCTTTAGTTACAAACAAAAACTTATAATAAAAAAAAGTTAAAAACAATTTTTGTTTCTTAAATATCAGAATGTAGAAAATAATAAAAATTGAGAAAAAATAATACAAATTTAATAAATAGATATTTAAATATAAGAATAGAAATAGCTCTTTAAAATTCATGTCTTTCAGGATACAAAAAATATTCCATTCTTATTATCCCAGTAAAAATAAATCGTGGCGCAATATTCAAATCTTGTTTTTAGATGGATGAACCGGACAATATTTGTTTTCAGAATTATGAAAAATTTATGGAAGAACTGTTTTATATGGCTTATACAAATAAAAAATATGTCACCTATCTGATTGATATGTCTTACTTTATATTCACACAAATTATACATAACTTTTAAATGAGAGCGTAATGGAAGAATTTGGTGGGCGACCAAGATTTGTTTCTTTAGTATTATCGAACTTGGGAAATACATTCCCATTTAAATCAACTTTATATTAAAAGTATTAAATATGTTAAAATCTGGCAACAACCTTTTTAAAATTTGTTAGGCTATAGTAAAATAACTGCCTTTTTCAATTTTTTTCTAAATAAAACCAAATGTTGATATCAATATCAATTTAATACTTGCAGATATGTTCAGTTGTTCTTGTTTATTATACATTTAGGCAAAACATACATATAAACAATTATGTTTACCATACATTTAGGCAGAACATACATATAAACAACAATTTGCTCGATTTAATAATTTCAAGCAATCAACAACAAAGTTTATTTAACAATATAGAATTATTAAACTTTACGATTTTTCTCTACTGAATATTACAAAATGGTCTTCATATTATTGTCTTTTTGTACAATATTCTTAAATATATCTCAGAAATAAATTAAATCAATAATTTTATGTAAATTTAACACGAAATAAGTAATAAAATTTATATATTATAAAAAATTTCAAAACTAATTTTATGTATAATTAAAACTAATCGATAAATAAGAATTTTAATAAAAATCAATTAATCTACGGTAATTATGTACACGTACCATTTTCTTATGCAGTTTTTGGATGTAGATTATTTTAAATATTTTTTAAAATTTTCGGCAAGTTTGGAATGGAGTTTTATCACATTTGTTTGGCTTGTTGGTGATTAAGAAAAATCAGATAATTTACTGTAAAAGAAAATACTTCATAGTTATGGAAAATATTTGGTAAATATAAAAATAATATAAATATCGTACCTTGGTTTGTGCTTTTGGTCTTACTACCATTATTAACTTTTGCAGCGTTTTCGTCATAGTACCTGAAAAAGTAAAAAATGAGTCTAATTTTTCGATTAGAGAAGAGCAAAAATATTTCACAGTGTTCAATTAATCCATTTGTTACATCACCAGCAAATTTCATACCAAATGTGTAAAATAAAAAATAATTTTAGAAAATGACAAGATCTATTTATCATTGATGAGTTGACTAGTACTTTATTGATTGATCAATTGCTACTTACACATGCCCTTTTGGAAGAAGTAAGGCTTATTCTTCCAAGCAATGAAGATCAAATAAACAGGAACAGCAGTCAAAATCATCAAACAACCATATCCAGTTTCCACAGGACTTGCTATCATTGGCACAATAGTCACAAAAAGACTTGCAACTAAATATACAACTGGGAAAATCAAGGGCACCCTGATGGGCCTTGGAAGATTTGGCTGGGCATACCGCAACCAGGGCAGACATAGGACAGCTACACCAATACTTAACTGAAATA